TGCGGTGTGAGCCCAGACCATCCCTGCTCGCGCCGCACCGCCCTTCCCGCCCGGCCTGCGAGCCCGTGTCCCCGGCTGACTCATGGCGTCAGCATGTTAGCTGCTCGGGTACCGTTCTCCTTAGGTTCCGGGCTCCTCCCAGGCGGGAGGCTGCTCCCTGGCAGCCTCAGTGTGAGGGCTCCGGGCGTGGCCTGGACAGTGCCCCTCCGTCCTTCACAGGCGACTCCCCGGGTCAGTGCTCACCCTGCTCACCCGCGGCCGCCGTGGCGAATCTGGAAAGAAAGTGGGACTGAGAGGGAAAGTCTCCTGGAGAGGACGCTTCCAGCGTTTCGGTGCCTGGACCGGGGGCCTCTTCTTAGGGGTGCATCACGGACACCCGCCTGTGCACACAGCCTCTGGTCTCACTCACCACATGGCCTTCCTCACCCTGACCGTGCAGGCTTGCGCCAGCCACGTCCCTGCGGCTGGTGGACGGTTTCCCGTTTTCTTTGTTTGATGCTAACCTACATCACTTTACAGAAATGCTTGGCTCCTTCTGATTGTTTCTGCAGGACGGCAGCTTACACGGGACATTCCTGGGGAGGAGGGAGACAGCTGTGGGTACAGATAGACTTGTATCTTAACACTGGAGGCCCGGTGCACGAAATTCGTGCATGGATAGGGTCCCTAGGCCTGGCCGGTGATCAGGGCGGATCAGGTGATCAGGTTCCCTGCCTCCCCGCCTCCTCCTTCCCCGGCTCTCTCAGCACCGCTGGTCACCCACCGTGTTCCGCACCGCCCCCTGGTGGTCAGCGCATGTCATAACGAGCGCTCGAACTCCTGTTCTCCTGGTCGAACTCCCAAGGGGACACTTTGCAATCAGCCTTTTCTATAGATAAGATTGGTGTTGTGGCCAGCACCCTGATGGCTATCTCTACACTTGGGGGGACCACGGCCAGTTTCCGTCCCACCAGCAGTTCCGTTTGTCATGTGACCCCGCATTCCGCACTCTGCTGTGGGGCAGGGAGAAGTGCCTGTGATTTCAGCTTGTGTCCTGGAGCCTTGTGAGCCTGAAGGTTTCTATTTCCCATTCGTGCCCGTCTCCCACCGCCTCAGGCGCAGGAGAAGTGGGTGCAGGTGATTTAACCAGCTGTCTGCATCGTGACCGCCCCCGAGGAACACGAGGCCATGGAGTTAGGGCCGCTCCGTCAGTGTCACGGGTCTCCCCGGTGCGTGCACCTGCCCATGTTCTGGAAGAGCAGGTCCCGGCCAGTTAGGGGTCAGGGTCCAGTCAGAGCTGCAGGAGCGAGTCCCTGCCCCACCAGCCGTGCCTCTGAGGCCTCCGCCCAGAGCGGGTGGAAGCAACGGAGCCGTCAGCGCAGGGACAGCAGGGCAGACAGGCCCGGAGGTGACCCTGCCGGCGGATTTATCGTCCTGAGCTCCCGGAAAAGAGCTGTTTCTCCTCCCAGCGCTGTCCCCACGGCAGCGGGAGCCCAACGGGAGCCGAGGACAGCGGCTGCTTCAGAATGAGTTCTGTCGCCCGTTGCCCAGTGGAGGCCTCTCCTCCAGCGGCCAGGGGCGTCTGCGCGACTTCCTCTGTGTGTGTGTGTGTGTGTGTGTGTGGGTGTGTGTGGGGGGGGGGGGGGGGGGGGGGCCCGCAGAGAGTCCTGTGGCTCGGGAGCCACCCCACTGCTTCTCGGAAGAGAACTGTGGGGTCCCGCCCGGGAGCCTGGCGCTTTAGGGCTCATTCCGGGCAGCGAGGAGGCCATGGGGCGGATGCTCAGGCCCTGGCCCCTTACGGCCCCGCTGCTGCGCCTTCTGCAGCTCCGGCCTCCCCCGGCCCCGTTAGCACCAGCTCAGGGGAGTCCGGCCTGTGTCCCCCCTAGTTCCTGAAATAAAGTAGAGAAGAATGCAGCTGACACCCGACTACCTGCCAGAGGTGACATAGAAGCTTCTGATCGTATTAGAGTTTTTAAAATAAAACGAGCGAAACCACATATAAGGAGTTGTTACATCTGAACCCCCTAGCATGGCTCCCCGCCCGCCCTGCAGTGCTGGGGGGCCCGGGACCACCAAGGAGACCTGGGCTGGACCAGTGGTGGCCTCTGAAACTCCCCGGTGGTTCTGAGCGTGGGCCGGGCCGTCCGCCATGGGGTGCGGGACCACAGCAGGCCCTGGGGATCGGGGAGGAAAGGGGACCTTCCCGGCCGTGTGGCCAAGGCCCCTGCGACCCCGTCCACACGGGGAAAGGCTTGGCGCTGGACATTGTGTCGGGCTGGTTTTCAAATGTGCAGCCCAGTGTCTGCAGTGGCCCAGAAGCCCTGGGGACTACCATCCGGAGAGAGTGGCCGTGGGACAGGCCTGCCCCTCTGTGCTCCCTGATCCCCTGCCCCCACCTCCCCCGCTCCTCC